CTATCTATCTATCTCTATAAATATATATATATATAGAGAGAGAGAGAGAGAGTGTCAAGGAGACAAAAAGAGACAGAAACAGAAAGAGAAGGAGAGAGCTTTCTGAGGACAGGGACTGTATCTTTTGTATACATATTCTTAGAGCTCAGCACAGCTCCTGTGATAAGTAGGCAGTTAATAAATGTGTATTCACTACTAAATACGTTTAATGAATGTATACATGTGTTAATATACACCTCTACAATATAAATATACTTGTATTACAGACAGGCTATATAAATATATTTATGTTATACAAAGCACTTTACGTGTTTAACACAACAACCCTATGAATCAGGGGCTCTTATTCTTATTTTACAAAGGGGGAAACTGAGTCTGAGATAGGCCTGTCCAAGCTTCTGGTCCAGGGTCATAAAACCAGTGTGTGAGGCAGAATTCACACTCAGACCTTCCTGACTCTGGTGCATCTCCTAACTGCCTGCAGCAAGTTCCTCCTGCGCTTCTCCCATCCCTCTCTGGCCAAGCCGTCCTGTCCTGAGGCCCCTGAGGCAGCATCGCAGGGCCAGAGCGGGGTGACTTGTCCAAGCTCAAGCTGGTGGTCAATGGCAGAGTTGTCCTCGATTCCAAAGCCAGCTTCCTCCCCGCTGTGCCAAGATGCTTTCATCATCCCTGCTCAATGCTCAGTGTCTATTAAAAACCTATCAGTCTTTGTTTTCATTTCCTTCGTGCCTTCGTTTGCACACTCAGCAGACCTCGAGGGTCACCTGAGTTCCATTACCCAGCCTGCCTCCCTGATGCTGCCGATGATGGAGACTGCACTGGCCCCCTGGTCAAGCTTTGTCTCAGACACCCTCAGGCCGCTTCTGATGCACAATCCATGCTCCTAAGCCGGCTACAGCCTACCTACTGTGCTTGTCCTCTCAGAGACAAGAGACAGCCTCCTTCTCCATTGTCCCAGCCCACACTGAGGGCAGGCAAACCACGCGGGGCGGGCTCGTTTTCTGGAGAAGATGCCAGGATTAAATGATATTATTGCTAACCCATAGGTTTATATCCTCGCGGTTTTGTGGGCTGACTTACTGCATTGAGAGGGTAGGAAATACTGTAGGCATTTCCCTTGTGTGAACAGTGAGATTGCAGATAAAGTATTTCATAACCGTACTAGTTATAGCCTGATTCCCGTGCTGGAGACAAATGATGTGGTCACTGGGTACTTATTTTAAAAAATCATGTTCTGTTATTTCTAGTATTGTTCTCATGATTATTTTGCTTTAATGGAAACATTTCACTGACTTAGCTATGTCCTCTAGTGGTGCTCCTAAGCCTACCATACCTCAACCTGTGTGACTATATTTTCCCATGAATCCTGACACTTCCCCTCTCAGGCTACCTTGAATCTACTCTGTATGAATCTTACATGTGCTGATATAGCAAGATTAGGGGTGTGTGTATATATATGTATACATATATAGTATATGTGTGTTTGAAAAAATATATATATACACATACATTCATAGATGTTCAAATGGAAGCTATATATATAGTATATATAGCAGATTGTATGTTATGTATTACATATACAAATTTTCCCCATTTGAATATATGAAACTATAATATACAATATCTATTGTTTGTTATGTATTATATAGAGTACATATAAATATAAAATTTATTTTCCTTATTTGAATATGTATGAAAAAATTTGCATATCTAATATATGTAACATTTAATAGTATATGTAACATTTAATAGTATATGTAAGTTATTCCCCCTATTTGAATATATATTAATATATGAAAATTTTCATCTATAATATATGTAATATAGTATATATGTTATTCCCCTAATTGAATATGTATGAAACCACTTACAAATATGTAATATATTGTATATATACACAAGTTGCTTTTTACTACTTGAATATCTATGAACATATGAAATAATTTGTATGTATACAATATATAATATATTATATATTTTTATTAAATATATAATATATTATATATTTTTATTAAATATATTATACATATTTATATGTATACATATAAATTGTTTTCCCCAGTAGAATATATATGTATGTATATGAATATGGAAAACCACCTATATATATACACAATATATATTACATATAGCCTCACTCTACACACACACATACACACACACACACACACACACACACACACACACACGGTGTTTTTCCTGATTTGCATATGTGTGTATGTATGTGTGGACACACACATACATATTGGGCAACAGTACATTGCACTGCATACAAGTGGTTTTTCAATATTTGAATTTAAGCTTCTTGAAAGCAGGGACTGTTTTCCCTTCTGAGAGGCAGTGTGGCATTGTGGATAGGGATCTGCCCTCCAAGCCAGCACAGACCTGGGCTCAGGTCCTGTCTCCAACCCATACTGCCTGGTTGTCAGACCCTGAACAAGTCCCTAAGGCTCTTGGGTGTTCTAGGCAGCTTTCTAGGATTATAAATAACAGAGAAGTTATCAACCTGCACTGATGGAGGGGTTCCCTCTCCTGGGAGTCCCTATACAATGAAATCACAGACCCAGTCCCTATCCTTCTCAGCACTTAACACAGTGCCTGGCACATAGTAAGTGCTTAATAAATGCTTGGTGATCAGTTGATGATCAAACATGCTGGAAGCTTCTAGGTCTTTGGTCAGACCTTGTTCTTTGTACGTGACTCCTTCCCTTCTCTGTTTCTAATCACACGTTTCCAGCTTGATACCATTTTGTCACATCTTCTGCATACTTCATTGACAGAAATGAGAGGCAATAGAATGAAAGTCCCCATGTATCTGTCTGTTGTCCTTTGGATCACAGGAACCATCGCTTCTTCCCAGATTGTGGACTTGGATGGTTCCCCACCATTTAGCATTACCAGGAAACCATTGGTGTTAAAAGGGCAATTGCCCTGAGAGGTTGACAAGGGCCTTCTTTGATGAGGTTCATTCATTCCTTGTTAAGGCTGATTCCTAGTTAACAAGGTTGAGATTGTTGAGCCAGGTATGAACAGATCTGAACTAGAAAGAAATTTTGGTGCTCCCAAGAGAAACACTGGATGGGGGCAAGAGTTGATGAGTAATTTGCTAAGAGATACCCACCAAGACTGAACCCAGAACTCGGAGCAAAAATCAGTCCCTGCCTTCTTGGAGTTTATGTTATAAAGGGAAGGGGACGGGTGTGGGGGCACCACATATAAATCAGACCATTCGAGATATATGGGGCAGATACAAAGTAACCTTACAGGAGATGGCACTCGCAGCTGGGGGACCGGGAAAGGCCTCCTGGAGGGTGTATCAGAGTCTTAAAAGAAGATGAAATTCTAAGAATTGAAGGTTGGGAGGAAGAAGCTAACAAGCGTGGGGAACAGCTGATGCAAAAGCAAAGAGGAGAGATCTTGTGCGAAAGGATCAGCAAATGGGCCAGTACGGCTGGATCACAGAGTGGAAAGAGGGGAGTAGAATGTAAGGAGACTGAAAGGTAGGAAGTGGCCAGATTGTAAAGAGGGCTGAATGCTAGGAAAAAAAAAAAAGACTTGCTCTGATCCTGGGGGTAATAGGGAGCCACTGTAATTTATTGAGTAAGAGGGTGATATAGTCACATCTACACTTCAGGAAAATCACTTTGGTAGAGGGTGGGTTACACTGGAGAGAGACTTGAGGCAGGGAGATCAATGAGAAGACTTTTGGAATAGTGCAGGCAAGGGCCTGGACTGGCATACTGGCTATGTGAGCAGAAAAAAGAGATCAAGTGGGAGAGATGGTGTTGAGAAAGAAATGACAAGACTTGACTGAGCATGTGGGGTGAATGAAAGGAAAGAGTAGAGGATGACACCAAGGTTTGGATCCTGGATAACTGGAAGGACGGTAATGCCCTCAACAATAAGAGGGAGGTTGGGGTGAGGGGGCGATTAGGGAGGAGTGAAGAGAATGAATTCTCTCTGGGGCATGTTAAGATTAAGATGCCTGAGGGACATTTGCTGTGAAATGTCCAATAGGCATCTGGGGATATGTGTCTGGAGGTCTGAAGAGAGACTCAGGCTGGATGAATAATCTGGGATGGTGAGCATAGAGATGATTCCATGGAAATTGATGAGGTCACAAGGAAGATAATAGAGAGAGAACACAGAAGAGGGTACAGGACAGAGCCTTGGACACCTACAGTTACAGAAAATGCAGTAGAAGTCACTGAAGAGACAAGTAAGAGGAGAACCAAGAAGAAAGCTAACCAGGAAAACCCAAGGAGGAGACAGTATCCATGAATGAAGAGAAAGTGATGCTTCAGGGAGGTCAAGAGGGATGAGGCTTGAAAAGAAGTCATCGGTAACACTGGAGAGAGCAGCTTTGGTTAAATGATAAGTTTGGAAGCCAGATCCAAGAGGATTTAAAAGAGATTGAGAGGAGAGGAGGAGAAGGTGAAGAGAGTGGGCATGTTAGGATCTGGTGAAGTGGAATAGGGAAAATATCTTTGCGTCAGGTTTCTCCGATACGGGTTTTGTATGTAAGATATATAGACAACTGCTATACACGTACATGCTATATAAGTGTGTGTGCATATTATGTGTGTGTATATGTTTATATGCGTTCATGTATGTATCTGAAACCAAAAGTCATTCCCCAGAAGATAAGAGATCAAAGGATATGAACAAATACATCTCAAAAGACTTGTAAAAGTGTTAGAAACTTATGAAAGAATGCTCCAAATCACTAATAATAAGAGAAATGCAAATCAAAACAACTCAGAGATTTCACTTCAAATCCATCAAACTGGTGATGACAAAAGATAGGAATAGTCAATGTTGGAGGGTTGTGGGAAGATAGGCACTCCAGGTACATTGTTGGTGAAGCGTGAACCAATGCAACCATTTTGGAAAGTTATTTAGAATTGTGCAAATAAAATGATTAAATATCCATACCCTTCAACCCAGAGATATCATTACTAGGCATATAGCCCAAGGTGACTGATAAGAAGAAAGTATCTGTGCTTGCCTTGTCAGCACATATACTAAGATTGGAATGATACAGAGAAGATTAGCATGGCCCCTGCACAAGGATGACATGTAGATTTATGCAGTGTTCCATATTTCTGCACTGTTGGTGGAGTTGTGAACTGATCCAACCATTCTGAATGGTTAAGAGCAATTTGGAACTATGCACAAAGAGCAATCAAACTGTGCATATACTTTGTCCCAGCAATACTACTACTAAATCTGTATCCCAAAAAGATAAAAAATTAGAAAAGGGAAAAAGACCTATTTGTACAAAAATGTTTATAAGCAGCTCTTTTTGTAGTGGCAAAGAGTTGGAAATTGAGGAGATGCCCATCAATTAATTGGGGAATGGCTGAACAATTTGTGGTATATGATTGTAATGGAATACTACTATGCTATAAGAAATGCTGAGTAAGATGTTTTCAGAAGAACCTGGAAAGATGTACATGAACTGATACAAAGTGAAGTAAGCAGAACTAGGAGAATGTTGTACACGGTAACAGCAATATTATACAATGATCAACTGTGAATGACTTCGCTATTTTCAGAAATGCAATGATTCAAGACAATTCTGAAGGACTTATGATGAAAAATGCTGCACACCTGCAGAGAAAGAACTGATGGGGTCTCAATGCAGATCAAAGCATACTGGTTTTTTTTTCTTTTTGTGTGTGTGTGACTTTTTGGAGGTCTGTGTTTTCTTTCGCAACATGACTAATATGGAAATATGTTTTGCATGATTGTGCATGTATAATCTATGTCAAATTTCATTAAGGGGGGAGAAGAGGGAGGGAGGGAGAGAATTTGGAACTCCAAATTTTTTAAAAATGTAAAAAATTGTTTTTCCATGTAAGTAGGAAGAAATAAAATATTAAAAGGAAAGAAAAAAAGAAGTGCCCACATTCCTGAAAATATTTATAGTAGCACTTTGGTAGTAGCAAAGAACTGAAAACGAAGTAGCTGCGCATCGATTAGGGAATGGTTTAACAGTAGTACATGAATGTAATGGAATGTTACTGTGCTGACAGATGTGATGAATATGGAGAAGCATGAAAAGACTAGCGTGTACTAATGGTGGATGAAGCAGAGCCAAGAAAACAATATGCACAACGACTCCAACAATGGAAATCGAAAGAAGCACCACCACCAGGCAATCCAAACTGAATGGTGCAAATTGACAAAGAGCCAGCTGAGCCCCAAAGAAGAGCTGAGGGAAGGCATCTCCCCCACCCCCACCCCCACTCCTTTGCAGAAGTGAGAGGTCCACAGATGGGGAATGTTGCATACTTTTGAGACTTTTTTGATGCATTGATCAGTTTTGCTTATTCCTTTCTCTTCATTTTTCTTCCTTTTTGTCCCCTTAAAATATTATTTGATATATTAGACAGCTCAGGGGGTGGGAGTAAGGTTGGAGGGTACTGGGGAAAATTTTGACAATATAAGAGCAAATGTATCGATACAAATTTGTTTTTAAAAAGAATGGGGGAAACAAGGGTGTGTTTGTGGGCAGCAGAGAAGGAAGAGAGCACGGTTTTATGGTGGGGGCACAATCTGCTGGAGAAGACAGGAAGAGATGAGATAATCTACTGGAACACGGGGAGGAATTAGATCAAGGTGTTGGCCTTGGCAAGCAGAAGGGCTACCTCATCATTACAGACTAGAATGAGGGCGATAGGGGGTGGGATGATGTCAGAGGTACAGGAGGAGGAAGGGTAAAGAGGGAGCCTTTGGCAAATAGCCTCAATATGTCTCAGTGAAATAAGAGGTGAAGTCCTTAGCAGAGAAGGCGGAGGGAAAGAGTGATAGCGAAGGCTTGAAGACAGAAGACTTTGGAACAACTATTGTGGTGAATAGGTTAGGGAATCAATCGGGCAGTAAGAGAGTATTTCCCTGGTGGTAATGAGGGCATAGTTGAAATTAGCTTTATTTTGTTTATTTATTTATTTTTGAGGCAATTGGGGGAGATTAGCTTTAATAAATTTGTAGTGGACACAGCATGGTTTCAAGATTTCCTCCAGTTCCAGCGGCACATGAATAGGAGCAAAGGAAGTGGATGGTGAGAGTAATCCAAGGTTGGATTTTAACAAAGTGTGATTGATTATGGGACAAAGGAGCAAAGAATTCAAGAGCAGGGGATAATGTAGAGTTGAACTGGTTCGCCAAGAAGTCAAAATTGAAAAGGGAAAGGAGTGTGGCCAGAGCAGGGAAAGGGATGACCTGGGATAGCACTGAGGAGCAAAGAGAATGGAGGGAACGATGAGGGCAAAGGACAGGTTGTAGAGTTGTCGCTGTTGTTATTGTGTTTGCCCTTTATTTTTTTTTCTATTTTAAAAAATGTTTTATTAATTGATTTTGATTTATCAACAATCACTTCCATCTGCTTTTGAGTTTAAGATTTTTCTCCCCCTCCCTCCCTCCCCAAGACGGTGCATAATCTGATGTAGGCTATACATATATATTCCTATTAAACATATTTTCACATTAGTGATGTTGTAAAAATTAGAACCAATAGGAGGAACCACCAGAAAGAGGAAACAAAGCTCAACAGAAGAGAAAAAAATAGTAATTCAAACTCCATAGTTCTTTCTTTGGATGTGGACAGCATTTTCCATCATGAGGCCTTTGGAGATGTCTCAGATCCTTGTATTGCTGGGAAGGGTTAAGTTTATCAATATTAGTCATCGCACAACGTGGCTGTTACTGTGTAAAACGTTCTCTTGGTTCTGCTCACTTCACTCAGCATCAGACCATACAAGTCTTTCCAGGTTTTTCTGAAGTCGGCCTGTTCATCATTTCTTATAGCACAATAGTATTCCATCACATTCATATACCACAACTTACTTAGCCATTCCTCAATTGATGGGCATCCTCTCAATTTCCAATTCTTTGCCACCGCAAAAAGAGCTGCTATGAATATTTTTGTACATGTGGGTCCTTTTCTCTTTTGTATGATCTCTTTGGGATAGAGCCCTAGAAGTGCTATTGCTGGGTCAAAAGGTATGCACATTTTGATAGCCCTTTGGGCATAGTTCCAAATTGCTCTCCAAAATGGTTGGATCATTTCACAACTCCACCAACAATGCACTAGTGTTCCAATTGTCCCACATCTTCTCCAACATTTATTATTTTCCTGTTTTGTCATGTTGGCCAATCTGATAGGAGTGATGTGATACCTCAGAGTTGTTTTGATTTGCATTTCTCTAATCAATAGTGATTTAGAGCATTTTTCCCTATGACTATAGATGGCTTTAATTTCTTCATCGGAGAACTGCCTGTCCATATCCTTTGTTTGTCTTTTGTTCTTGAAGAGGACCATGACATCAGGGAGGTGATGATGTGACTTGCAATTGACTTTGATTTGAGTGAGGGAGGGCTGTGCAAGGTCACCAGCTTCACATTCTCCTTCAGAGTCATCTGGGTCCAGTGGCCAGATACTCATCAGGATGACTGGAGATGGCCTATGATGCAATGGGAAACTCTGGCCCTTTTAAGCTAAGGTCTTTTCAGGTTCTCACTTTGAGTGAGGTAATGCCCATTTGTGAATAGGCCTCTTTAAGAAGTGAGTCTAGGGGTGGTTCCTTTAATTAAAAAAAAAATCAATCTGGAAGCAGAAGACCCTCAGGGTTGCTGGCCAAAAGAGAAACAGTTACTACTTACGTTCACTCTGAGCCAAGAGGGCCCAAAAAAGAACCATGAAATGGTACTTGGGCAGGGACCTCTTGTTGTCCAATCTATGAGCTCCAGAGTAAATTGGGTTTAAAACTTGGTCTTTTTTTTTTTTTTTGGCTAGGCAGTGGGGTTAAGTGACTTACCCAGGGTCACAGAGCTAGTAAGTGTCAAGTGTCTGAGGGCAGATTTGAACTCAGGTCCTCCTGACTCCAGGGCTAGTACTCTATCCACTAAGCCTTGGTCTTTGAGAAAGAAATCTAGCCAGTAAACCCCAGAGAGGAGAAGGAGAGGGACAGGGAGAAGGAGAAGGAGGCACTAGGGGAGATGAAAGATAAAAGATTATAATGAGATAAAGGATAGCCAGAGTTCTTTAACATGGAAGTGGAACACTTGTGGGTAATGATAGGATCAAGGGTGTGACAGTCCTTATGTGTAGTGGAATGGAATTGAATACATTAAGGAAATGGAAACTTATACTATTTGAGGGAACACTGAGTATATGCTGAAGTAATCTAGGATGAGGGAAGAAGTGAGGGTGTAGTGAAAGACTGTGAGCATTGAACTCATTGAGAAAGGCATGGGACCATCCTTGATAGATAAGAGCCACCAGAAAATGGATTGCTGACAAATGTGTATTGAATGAACTTTGGAGTACTCTTACCTTGTGCTCATTTTGTACAAAGTACTCTTACCTCTCTAGGTGGCAGTGATAGCAAGAAAGGGAGAGTCTGGAGGAAGTAGTATTCCTCCCCAAACACGACCAGGTAACCATTGTTCTAGGCACTGTGCTCAACACCGGAGATACAAAAGCAAGAAAACAATAGTCCCTCCTCCATGCTCTCAAGAAATTCACATTCTAAGAGGGGGAGACAGAAAGGGGAGCTGTCCAGGGATGGGGCAGACATCTGGTATTAGAGGGAGTCATGGAGTATGCTGGATGGGGAGCTAGGAAAGAAGAGTGAGCATTATGACTGGGCCTCCTCATTCTAAGGACGTTCTAGGAAGGGATTCACCAAACTGAGTTGGCCTTAGGGTGGATGAGCACAGCATGGTTGTGCTGGTATGCATATAATAATAGAAGAACCAGAGGAAAGCCGCCAATATGTTGGTTTTCTGCGAGGACCTCAAGAAGGATCACACGGGACGAGAAGGCTCAAAGGGATCCTAATCTGCACTGGTGGAGAGTACACACACACTGATAAAACCACAACTCCATGAAAGTTTCATTATAGTATGAAAAAGTCTCTGTGTTGCGAATATTAATAATATGGTGGCACAGTTGACCAAATACAAGATAGAAAGGGCTTTCTGCCCCAGCTTAATTTGGATGTGTAATTAAGAAACAAAACCACCAATGGAAACGAAGAAACATCAGAGGTTTAGGTTTTCTTCTTACAGAAAGTCTGGTTTTTGTCTCCCTCCACACCC